GGAGCTAAGGGATGGCTGTTGTTAGGGTGCCCCCCAGCCTTAAAGGGGTACAGTGTCATGAGTACAGTGTTCTTCATGCTCCAAAGCTCCCTGTAAGATCAGGTTGGGATGGACTGCAGTGGGATCCTCATCCTTGTTGTAGGATGATTGCCAGGCTTTTCTGTCCTTCCACCATTAGAATTGATGATGGATCCCTGTGATCCTGAATGCATGCCTGATGGCAGGCACCTGGAGTAGGGTGTGGGCATACGTAGGAGGGTTCACCTGGGCTGAGATGGGCCTATAAGGGTGGCATCACCGGAAGCCAGAGGAACGGAACCAGCAGGAAGAGTGGCAGTGAGAAAGAGTAGCAGAAGAGAGAACAAGGCCACGAGAGAAGGCCAGAGAGCCCAGCAAGAGTGAAGACTAGCTGGGGGCTGGGAGGCTAGCAGGCTCCCAGCCCCCTGGCACCCCTGCCTGCCATGTACCAGGTAAAATCCTAACAAAAGCCTGAAAAAGCCACCGAGGGCTCCAAGACACTCTCCTTCTTTACCCATCTGCATAAGATCATAGAGATGCTGATCTGTGCCCTTCCTGCCACTACTACACTTGACTTTCATTTTCCCTTTCTTGTCCTATCACTGCAATTTCTTAAAATTTTTAGCAGAGAACCTCAAATCAATTGCACATTCTCATCTCAGACTCTAATTCAATGAACCCCCCAAGACAACTCTGCTATATTGGGTTTTAGTCTTTATTTACTTTATTCTTTGTATTTTCAGTATTACTAGATTTTTTTAATTTTTATTCATTTTTTTAAATTCAGTGTAGACCAGCAAGCACGGAGCAGTTTCTCTATCAATTCAGGTAGACAAGCAAAGGAGAGTCTTGGAGCCTCCAGTGGCTTTTTCACGCTTTAATGATCTTTCTAAACTAATTGTTTTGGGGCAAGTCCAAAGGCTGGTCCTATTTCTCTGCATTCACTCATCCTCTCATAGCCATCCCATCATAGCCATCTTCTGTGTCACACCATGCTTGTAGCCTTAGCCTCCAAGCTCAGGTGTGCCCAGTTATGCACACAAACGCCACACTCCAGGTGTCTACCATCAGACACTTGTGTAAGACCACAGGTGTCAATCACAGTCACTAATGGTGGGAGTGTGGGGAAAGCCTGATAACATCCATTTACCCTGCATTGAGGTGATACCCCTATCAGGTACTAACACCATAGTGTACCCACAAACAACTCACCCATATTCTTCCACCACCGTAGACCACTTTCTTCTGAAATTTTCATCACCTGTATTTCTCTTTTGAAATCCTGAAACTCCTTTTTATCTGATTCAGAGCTTCATTTTCTGTCTTCAGTTCACCGTTTTTATTTCTAAGAACAGTAATTAATTTTCCTGCATTTTCTTCCTTGTCTTTGAATTGTTTATCTTGATGGAGAGCACATAGCTTCTATGTCTTTGAATTGGGTTCCTGGAGATTTGTTCTCTCTCTCTGTGTTGAGCTATTCCTTTGAGAACTCATGTTGCCATTTGTTGGGTTTTTCCCTCTCCCCATTATTAGCTTTGGGACCCAGCTGATATATGTGGGATTTCCTCTGGGTGTGGCTTCTCCATCGCCTGCCCTCCCTCCTAGCCCTCACCAGCATGGCAGTGGTCTCACCTGTCTGGGCAAGCAGCTAACTCATAGGAGGTCACAAGACCTCTGCTTGCTCTTGCTCCTCCCTAAGCACGTGTCTAATGTCTTACCAGCCTTAATGGATACTGATGGGTTCTTGGAGTTTGTAAGGCCTCTGGCCACTCTGGTATATTTCCCATAACTGGTCCAGGGGTCCAGGGTTAGAGTGGTCTAGGCAGGTACTGGTGAGTTCTGAGAGAGATCAAGAAGACTTTGGTGACTCTGGCACCTTCCTCTGGCAGTATCTAAATACTGTTCAGTCTAGATGGGTACTGGAATGGTCTTATGGGAGTTTGCAAGGCCTCTGCCAATTTAAATGGGCACTGATAGTGTCTATAGGAGGTCATGAGGACTCCAACCAATCTGGTACCTTCCATGGTACAGATATGGTGTCTCTCTTGTCTGGGCAGATACTGGGGTGATTTGTAACTAATCATATCTCACATACATACACAGAACACTATCCAACAAGAGAAGAATATGCATTTTTCTCAAGTACACATGAAGCATCTCCAGAATAGATGAGACAATAGAATGTGAAATGACTTCATTGCAACACTATTTATAATATCCTAGCTATGAAAATAACCTAAGTGGCCAAATTAAAATTAGTATATTGGACCTCCCTGGTGGTGCAAGGGGTTAGGGCACAACCTATGAAGCTATCCGCAGCCACTGCAGCATGAGTTCGATCCCCGGCCAAACAGCTACCCACATGACACAGAAGACCTCTCCTGACTCACCTGCTGCTCCCCTCAGCAGTGTATTTCAGTCATTCTGCCTGTTCTGTTCCCCACTCTGTCTCTGGTGAATCCTTCTCCCCACATGCACACACCTCTGGCTTATACCCCAGTTCTTGTATGCATAAATAAATTGTTTTAAATTAAAAAAAAAGAAAAATTAGTATATTAGGAAGATGTGGTATATGACATAATGGAATACAACTCAGCTGTTAAAAATTAAAGGATACATTCTTGACTTTTGTGACAACATGGATGGAACTGGAGAGAATTATGCTCAGTGAAATAAGGAGAAAGACAAATATTGGATGGTGTCACTTATATGTGGAATATAGAGGAAGAAAACAAAGGATCAGATAGCCCAATACAATAAGAAACCCTAGAATTCTGAAGGTAGAATTGAGGTCACTAGAGGCAGAGGTAAAGGGAAGAGAGCACAATGGACTATGGTGGAGGACTATGGATGCCTTGGTGATAGGTGTGCTGTGGCAACATACACTGGAAGGTATGACCCTGTACCTCCAAATCTTATGCAGTGTTATAAAACAATGTTGCCACAATTTAAAAATAAAAACAAGTAGGAATAGGTTTTGAAAGTTTGAAATCCTATAAAATATTGTTAAATATGTTAATAAAATAATGAGAAATAAAATTCATATACGGGATCATTTCTTCATATAGTTTTCTGTTTAAATATACTATCAATCATGTTAAAAACATTAACCAAGTTAATAAATACTCACAATACAGTTCATTGTCATAACCTATCTTAAATGGCAATCTCTCTGACATACTGAGATTACTGACAAAAACTGCAGGCTCTCATTTCTGTAAAATCTTTGGAGCATCTAGTCTTGAGGAAAAACAAATTCAATTAGGTGTCATTCTACAAAGTAGAGATGCTCCTCAAAATGTCAAGAGTTATCTGACAAGGATCTTACAAACTTGTCATAGCCAAATAGAGTTTAAGAAGCCACAATGAATAAATAAAATGTGGTATCCTGAATACAATCCTGTACCATAAAATGGCAATAGGTTAAACCTAAATGCATCTGAGTAAAATAATGAATTTTAATAAATAACAGTATTAGTTCATTAATGAGGTATAATAGTAAATGTCAGATTTTAATAAAGAGCATCCTGTGTGTGAAAGTACACAGAAACTATACTATTGTCTCAGTTTTTTTTCTGACTTAAATAATTTTCTCACCCACAAGAATCAGGGACTGTAATGGCGGATTTTGGGTGCATTAGTGGTGGGTGTGATATGGTAACATACATCTGAAAATATATGAACCTATAACCCTGATCATACAGTGTTGTAAACAAATGTTACTTCAATTCAAATAATAAGCAAACAAACAAAATGAGTAACAAAAAAATCTTCACTTGTCAGTGGAGTTCCATATCACCATATATATATTTAAAAATAAGTATAAGTTTACATTTTAGTTTTTTCTTTTTTTTAAATATTATTATTAATTTGTTTATAAAAGGGATGTAGGCTAGAGGGGTGGGCAGTGAGAGGATTCACTGGAAACAGAGTGGGGAACAGAAAAGGCACATTTTACTGAAACATACTGCTAAAGGGAGCAGCAGTTGAGACAGGAGAGGTCTGCTGCACTACATGTGGGTCAGCTCCCTGGCAGGGATCCCCAAGGCAGGCTGCAGAGATGATGTAGTGATAGTGCTGAGACATAACCCCTTTGCTAAAAGGGTGGCCCCTGTTTTGCTTATATAAGTTGCATACTTTCTAAACATACTGCTGCAATACTGGAAAATGACTTAAGTAATCTTACAGAATGTGGTATCATCCAGTTGGGTTGATTTTATAAAATGCTTATTCTAATTTAATCTCATGAGGGCACCATGTAAATTTTTGTCATATTTATTCAGGATGGTCTTGAACTTCAAGAAAAAGTTCTACAGAATAATCTAGAACATTACTGATTTTAAAACCATCTTATCACTTCTATTGATATAAAGACAAAGAAAATAATTAGTGTTTTCACATTTTCACTGGTATGAACATGTTTTAAGAGAACTGGTTCTTATTTTATATTTATATAAAGCAAAATACTCTGTGTGTATTTTATTTATAAATAAATAAATAAATATATAATGATTTATTTATTTATGCATACAAGAGCTGTGGTACAGGCCAGAGATGTGGGGGTGTGAGAGCAGAGACAGAGTGGGAAACAGAACAGGCAGATGGACTGAAATACACTACTGAGGGGAGCAGCAGGTGAGACAGTAGAGGTCTGCCTCCCCATGTGGGTTTTCCCTGGCTGGCCAGGGATCAAACTCCTGCTGCAGAGGCTGCAGATTTCTTCATAGTGCGGTGCTTAACCCCTTGCGCCACCAGGGAGGCCCTGAAATAATTATTTCATGGATATAAACATTTCTGGAAATTAAAGGGAAAATTGAATTCTAATTTTAGGCTTAGATAAATATATTTTCATTTACTTTTTTATACCAGGTTATAATATTTATTAAATATAATTCATTTCTACCACTTCAAAGATAACTATATTTTGGTTTGAATGTAGCTGTTAGTTGTATTGACTTACGTCTATTTCTTTTTTCCTTTAGGCTGTACTTTGGAGGTATAAATTTTCTCAGCTTAAAGGTTCTTCAGATGATGGCAAGAGCAAAATCAAATTTTTGTTTCAGAATCAAGATACTAAACAGATTGAAGCAAAGGTAAACCAAAGAAATTCTTCAAATAATCTACCTCTAACTACATTAATGCTATTAAGGAACAAAGGGAAGAAATTTTAGGAAAACTGAAAATTTAAATATGTATTCTCTGTTTACGTGGACTATCCCTCATGGATGAAAGAATAAATTCACTACAAAAACTTAATGGAAAATTATATAGACAGGCATAACAAAATAAATTGCATATAACTGATTGCATTTTTTTAAATGTTAATTCCTTATGAGCCTCATTTTGGCAATATTGAATTAATATTCTGGTAACTAAAATATCTGGTGTCTTACTGATTTCGTATTCTAAATAGTAATATAAAGTACTTAAAAATTCTGACTTTATCATTACTTATCTTCTCTTTCAATATACACACAAATTCCTCAAGAAAAATATACTTTTTAAATTATAATTTATTTATATATATTTTACATCATTGTTCATTTTTGTACAATATTTGCCTTCTACTCTCAGGTTTAGTGTCCACAGAATCCCACCACCAGTTCACCTGTGCACCATCACCATAGTCCCTTGTGCTTTTCCCTCCCCTGTTTTGATTCCTCTTCCTTCCTCCCCTGCAAAATGTCTCTGATTTAAAATTGCCTGTTAATATTTTTGTTGTTGTTATTATTATTTTTCCCTGTCCCTTATTTGGTATATATACACAATGGAGAACTATTCAGCAATCAAAAAAGATAAACTCATGCCATTCACAACAACATGGACGGAGCTAGAAGGAATTATGCTCAGTGAAATAAGTCAGAAGGAAAAAGAAAAATATCAGATGGTTTCACTTATAGGAGGAATATAGGAGAACCATAAAAACATACTTTAAAACAATTCATGTTTTCCTCATGTTATTATGTATGAAGTAAAATGAATAAGGATGAGTTTTTTCCAATGTACATTTTCAGTATTCTGAATTATATTATCTATGTAGTTTTTAACTCATCAGAAAGATTTACTATTTTGTTTTTATGAATACATATACTTGCAAATATTCAAGATAATCTCATTGCTATGAAATTCACATTTACAATGTATGGGTTAGGATGAATTTTAAATGTACTGTTCTGGTATAGAAGAAATTATGAATAACAAATACTAATACTAAAGTGAAAAACATGCCATGGAATTGAAAACCAAAATGTAAAATTTTAGCCATCAATTAAAATCACCATAAATCTATTTAAATTCCTATGCTTGTCAAATCTGGAGGTTGGAGGAGTCTCAACCTGACACTCAAAAGCTTTCCAGGGAATGAACATCTTGGATATTCCCTTGAAAGTCTCCTGTTGCACTTTTGTAAATTCAGATCAGACTCTCATTCTTCTGTTAACAAGGTGAATCTCATACTAAGTTATAACTTTTTTTTTTTTTCTGACATATTTTTGTCTTTGGTCTTATCCTATTACCTTCTCCTATTCTGTGGATCCTTGAAGGTGGGAACTATGGAGATAGCTCCTTTGTGCTGGGTCATAGTTTATTCATTATGCTAAAGAATTGGTACTATCTATGGCCTTACTCTGTTTGCTGCCATTCACTGTAGACAGATGTCTTGCAATTTCAACCACTCTTTATTTAACTTGTCATAGTTTTCAAGTCCACATGTCCATGAATGTCTCTACCCTAAATATAAATCTAGCCACTGAGCTGACTTACTTCCTCTCCCATTACAGTTCCTTCCGTTACCCCATCTGGCTACTATGGGACCATCTAATACTTTGTGATTCTTAATATTATGATGAAAAAATGCATTATATTGTTTAACATTATTTATCTTCATTTTTGGTAGATTTTGACATTTTTCAAAGCAGGGCATGTCCTAAGACTAGTGAATAATCATATATATGGTCAAAAAGACTCATTTAACTTTACCAGTTATTAGCTACCAGCCAGTTTTAAATTTTTATTTATTCTTTTCATAGTGCTTTACAGCACTATAGTATAATTACATTCATTAAAAATACTTTGAGAACATAACCAATGAATGTGTTTCCTGAATTTATAGCAGAAAGAGAACTTTTAAAGATGAATATAACCATTGGTGAGGTCATCAAACGTTTCAAAATTATCATACCACACTCTAAAATAGGGGGTAATAATTACTACATGGGTAACCAAGCTCAATATTACAAATAGTTAATAATTAACCCTAACAAGTGAGAATGATGGCCAGCTCTACAGAATCGTTTAGCCATAGAGAGTGTGTTATTTCTGCTGACATCGTAAAATTTGCATATGATTTAAAACTAGTACAATCTCTATTTGTAACTTTTGTAATTATAACTTGTGAAAGATAATCAAAAGTGCCATCCCAAGTGGACGGCAAGGAGAAAGACTGCATGTAACATATACTGGCCTTACAGGACTCATGTGTCATAAAGGTGGTATTTAGTTGAAGTTGATGCGTCATTTGAAGATTCAGCATTTTCTCTAGTAGAACATTACTATTTATTATTATTTTAATGAAAAAATAGGCAATTTAATATAATGGAAAGATAGCTAGTACTGGAAGAACAATTAGGATAAGAGTTAAAATATTTTCAGGGCCTCCCCTGGTGGTGTAGGCAGTTGAATGCAGTGCTATGAGGCTGTCCGCAGCCTCTGCAGCGTGGATTCTATCCCGGCTGGCCTGCGAAGGTCCCACATGGCACAACAGATCTCTCCTGTCTTGCCCGCTGCTCCCCTCAGCAGTGTAGTTCAGTCAATCTGCCTGTTGTGTTCCCCGCTCTGTCTCTGGTGAACCTTCTCACCCTCCCGTGCTGGCCTGTACCCCGGTTCTTGTACAAATAAATCTTAAAAAAAAAAAAAAAAGAGTTAAAATATTTTTCTTACCACATTCAACCTATTTTACATGAATCAATTTATTACCAAATTGCAGCTGCTACCTTGCAGGGAAAGTATAGGGAATAAATATCCTCAGTCCCTGGCACATGAAAGACAGTCAGTAACCTACCATTATAGCATAGGAAGTATTCCAAAGCTAGTTACTACTATTATTAGGAAATAAGTTAGTATAAATACTGTCTTTCTAACCTTTAAGAAATTCAAGTTTATTATAGTCATAACCCAAATTGGGTAACATCAAATGCCTGGGAAATGTTTGTATTTTGTTAGTTTCTATTAATTCCTAAAATTTCAATATGGTGAGTTTGCCCCAAGTCACTGTTACAAGTCAGAGACAGGGATTCTGTAATTTATATACTTGTCAAAATGTATACATTTGATAACATTGGGGTTCATTTATATTTCAATTGTTCACTAGCAAGTGAACACAAATAATATATATTCCAACATTGTGTTTCTATGGCCTATCCTGAAGGCTGCCTAGGTACATGTGGCTAATAACTATCTCTGGTTTAATAAATTCAATATTTTCTTTTATGATTCTTTACCACTCTCCCTGCCCCAAAACTCCTTTTTATGCAGGCAAACTAAATTAACTAAGTAGTCATAATCTGAGATGGACTATGAAAGTCCATACTATGTATGCATGACAGAAGATCAGAAGAATTTGACATTACTATGTGTAACATATGACAAATTATTTATTCTGATTAATTATTATTTGTTTGTTTTTTGTCTTTTGTTTCCTCAATTGCATTTAAACTCTTGTTCAATAGGAATAAAATGTTATAGAAATATTTGCTTAACGACATGTTAGGAAAATGACCCCTGGTATGTAAGTATAGTTACCAAACATCAGAAAGAAAATTAAAGCGAATGTCGAAAACTTCAGGGGGGGCGGAGCAACATGGCGGCGAGGAGACGCTGCGAGTAAGATCTCCCATTAAAAAAAGTGAATAGGGAGGAAAAGCGGCAGGTCCCAGTGAGAACTGGGACACGGAAGATAAACGGGTGACGCCAGCGAA